ATGGGTACTTAAAAGCAAGATGAGATGGCTCTGGATTTTTGTAATCTTTATTTAGTCTGTTTTACTGTGAGTGAATTTTAAATACTTTTTACCAGCTGCATTCAGTTTCTATCGTATAAACCTGAAATATGCTAGAGAAAATAAACTAAGACAAATAAATTAAATTTTTTTTTCCTTTGACTTAACATTTCAGGATCAGACTTGGCTAGTATTCCAGGCCCAGGGTGCCAGAAAAGTACGTAATGCACAGTACTTAGGCTCAATACCCTTGTTTTGTTATGGCCAATTACATGAATTTTAGCGATGGTCAGAGGCTTCTGAATAGGAGGGTGGTCGGTAACTCCTATAAATATGAATTTCCAAATGGTATCTTTTTGTTCCAGCCCATCACAACAGTTTTAAAACCAGATTTTGGTTTTTGTTTTGTTGCTTTTAAAAAAAATTAATCAGCAGCAACATAGTTCTTTTCTCTTTTTTTCCTTGCAGTTTTTCATCAGTCTTGTCATGGCTTCTCCTGTATATCCTTAGTTATAGGACGTCTGTTCAGCTAAACCTTAGGTGATTTCTCAATGACGTTTGTTCTGTAGTTGTAATTTTGATGTGGTCGTGAGAGGAGGCAAGCACAGTGTTAAGCTACACCATCTCAACCAGAAGCCCCGCTTTGTGTTGTTGTTGTTGTTGTTGTTGTTAATGGGAGAGCCTGTGTAATTTCCTTCAAGACTGGAGTGACACACTCTGCGTCTGCCTCATGTGAGTTCTCATTTTGGCCGCAGCACTCTGCTAGGCTGAAACCTCTGTAGAGGTGTGCCCTTTCTTTTTTTCTAAAATCCGTAAACTACTACCACAGTGTGACATGGTGGCAAAGGTTAAAAAGTGCATGAGAAACCATACTTCCCTGCAGAAAGTGGCTTGTTCCAAAGGCACTGACTCCTCTAACTTAGGTTCTATCTTGAATGAACAGCATCTCCTCAAAACAGAGCCCACAACTTTCATCCCCACAACATGCAGTTGATATTTTTTGATACTTGTTTTTTCCTTGTAGATGGAATAAAGAATATCTTTAAATGCTCTCAGTAGCTTCACCTTTCAAAGCTTTGGTTGTTCTCTTTATAGGCTAGTTACGTAACCTGAGAACAGTGCGTGCTGCTCTAATGGCTGAAGCAGTCTTCTTTTTTGGACTCTGGCCCTTGAAATAACTTTTTGCTTTGTCTTTGGATATTGGGTAAATTAGGATAGGCCTGAGGACTTTCTTGAGGAAGAAATAAAAAATGCATGTGTGAGGTTAGTTTACTCTGAAGCTATTAGCTATGTTTTAGAAGGTCAGTTGTAAGAATTGAGCTCAAAACTATGCATCATTTACTTGCCAGCTTGTGAGAGAAATTGAAATTAGATAGTCTTTGCAGCTGTGGAGAGGCATAGAGCTCTATAGTCTGAGGTCATGTGTGGTTCTCTACATATTTCAAGAATGGCTTTGAAGGGCCTGGTTGTTTAAAAGAGGAATTTTACTTTTTATTTATTTGCTTATTTTTTAAGGAATAACATTCTTTATAGCTTCAGGAAATGGTCATTTTTGCCACTAGGTCAGAACAAATTGTGATTATTCCCAAAAGGCACTTGGAACAAAAAATCTAACTTGTGCTTTCTGCAGCTGCAAGTCTGCTTCTCCAGCCCTAGTTGTACTGTATAACTCTCTAGCAGATGATTTAATGACCTGGGAGTTCATGTTACTGAAATGATTATCCGGGAAGCTTATGAGAAAATGTCAATAGCTCATAGTTCTTACTGATTAATATAGAGCTTAGTGAAATAGATAGTGTTGTCAAAGTGGAACTTGGACGCTCTTTGCTAAATCCATTCCCACCTGTGACTAGAGCAATTTATTTTGGACTAGTTGAAAGAAATTGAAGAGATAGTAGTGGGTTTCAACACCCGAACTTAAGTTTTGATGGTCTATGTAATCTAGAAATTCATTTTTAACAGCAGTAGTGTAGTGTACCCTGTCACAAAGAGCTTTGGATGAGAATCAAGGAGACCTGAATTCTGATTTCGGCTGATATTTGTAGCTGCTATATAACTTCAGGCCAGCAAATGAGGAAACTACGTTGTACATTTGAGAAGAACCTTAAACTCATTGAGAGAAAGGAAATTTAAAGTATTTATTTCTGTAGGTAGAAAGTCACCTCAGTTGAACACTTGGGGAGTTCTGCCCTGGAATAAACACAATGTGGCAAGTGTATAGTGTTTTATTTTCTGCTTTTCTAGGGTTTGTCCTTGCAAAATGGGGATTTGAGATTTTTCCCTTCTGTATTTTTTTTTCACTAAAAATTCTGAATTGATTTGGGTTTCATTCCAAATTATCTCATAGACATGAGTTTTAATCACTCTGTGATTACCTGATTCTCTAACTAGGGAAAATCGGTCATTTAGAGGTTAGCCTGGATGGGGGTGATTGAGGTTTGTTTTTTTGTATCCCATTCTCAAGACATATCCAACAAACTATCCTTCTGAAAAATTAATAATTGAAAACACTTTATATGGGCCATATCATATAAGAGTCAATGGATTGTCCAAATTAGTTAGCTGTAATGGAATTTTGTTTCATTAGCTCTCTTGTTTGAAGTAAGTGGGGCTCCGTAGGATAGAGAAGTAATTTTTGTTTCATGGAAATTTTGTTAAACTGTTATTTCAATTGGTGTGGAAGCATTGGGTGCGGTGAGAGATGTTATTTTTTATTTTCAAAATACTTCAAATTGACATCAATAGGTACCAAGCTTTCCTGCTTTTATGATAATACACCTGTTCTTCTGTTAGTGTATCTGAATGTATAACACTTACTTTACCACTGTATATCATCTATATTTAGGACTTTTTATACTTGAGGCTTCAAAAAAATTTTTAGGAGGAAGAGGTGAGGATGGGGATGGACTTGAGGGGAGGAAAAAAATATAGCCAGTTTTGAAAATGTTACTGAGGTTAGCATTAGTATTAAATTATTATTAATCCTAAAGTGACAGAAGAAACCACAGCATTTTTTGGCGTTGTTCAGATGAGATGAGACTTAAGCATCTCCTAAAGGACTTTAAAAATTATAGGCTTTTAAAATATGACAAGTGTTTATTAAAGTACTTTGAACACTTTATTTAAAATTTTAATTTAATTTAAAAAATAGGTAAATACATTAACACGTTACCAGTTTTAACGGTGCAAAAGAAAGTACGTGAAAGTCTTAGCCATTCATCTCCCTTCTGTGGCAGCAACCAGTATTACTGGTTTCTTTTATGTATTTTCAGAAATATTCTAAAGTAGCGGTCCCCAACCTTTTTGGCACCAGGGACTGGTGCACCTATGAGAATCTAATGCCTGATGATCTGAGGTGGAGCTGAGGCGGTGACGTGAGCACTGGGGAGCGGCTGCAAACACAGATGAAGCAGTGCTCACTTGCCTGCTGCTCACTTCCTGCTGTGCCACCCAGTCCAGTCCATGGACCCACTACTGGTCCATTAAAATATTAGCATTAACTTGGATAGGCAGACTAATTGCAATGAAAAAAATCAGTTTGAGCATAGGCTACATATGTTAGTCATAGATAGGAGAACTATAATAATGTAATAATATTAGTTGCATTATTTTGAGACTATAAGAACAATAGATTTTTTTTACCTCACTTGGCATTTAGCAAGATTGCAGATCTTTTTTTTTATTTTTATTATTTTTAATGTAGCTTAACTCACTCCTAGAGACTGATGGAAGGATGCTTACCTAATATTTCATTTGGAAGATATGTAATTAAAGGAGCAACCGTTTGTTTATGCTGAACTGCAGTGATGATTCTAAAAAGTTTTCATTATAGAAAATTTCAGACATATACAATAGGAGAGAGAAACTCCCATATTCCAAAGTTCATTTTATTTCACCTATAAAAGTATGCTTCGTTGGCAGATAAGAATATGTATATATATTTTATGCATACCCTTGCACATCCCAATCTTTCCATAATTGTGTCTAATAAAATGAGTCATAATTCTTTAATGTCTGACTCCCAGTTCCTATCCAGGTTTTCTCAGACATGTCTTTTTATGGTTGATTTTTGCAGTAATAACTTATAAAATGCAATTTTGATGGCTATAATGTTGTTAGAGCTGATAAGAAAATAAGTTAATTCTGACAAATAGAATTATACTGAACTGTAAAGCAACTACCAAGCCAAATAAGAATTCCAAAAATAGACTGTTCTTCTTACTCTTTTAAAAAATTTTTCAGTAATTTTTTATTTTTAAATTGCAATTATACAATATTATAATACATACAGTATTATATTAGTTTTGGGTGTACAAGTTGGCAATTTATACAACATTTATATAACTTACAAAGTGATCACCATGATAAATCTACCTGTCTGACACCATACATAGTTAATTCAATATTATTAACTATATTCCTTAAACAATACTTTATATCCCCATGACTATTTTGTAACTGCCAATTTGTACTTATCAATCCCTTCCCCTTATTCACCTACCTGCAACTCCCAGACTGGTTTTTTTAAAAAGCTCATTTTGAAGGGTTCTTACACTAGTTGTGCGCATCCATGAAGGCTTCAACACGGACAGACCTCTCTACCTAGTTTTCTGTTTACTGTTACTCTCATAGTTAATATCACAGCCATGTGTATTAGTATTATGCTCTCCCTTTAGATTGTGGGCATGAAAGAAAGGATAAAGTAGAAAAAAATATTTGGATTAAGGTTCTTAAGAATGGAAGAACTATTCTGAAATGTCTGATAATTTATTTGTTGCTGCTGCTCCTATAATATGACCTATTTCCAGAGACTAACAGTTGAGTTCAGAGTTTACTCAGGGCAGCACAAAACATGGAGTTTGAGGGAACAGAAGGAAAACGGCAGATTTAGGAGGAGGAAAGAAATGGGAGAGTAGAAATTCATTCATTTGCCTTCTGTTTTAATTGGCTGTTCTTTTCATGAGAACCTCTTCTTTGTGCAGTGTACAAATCTCCGGAGTATGAGTCTCTTGGCTTTGAGCTTACTGTGGAGAGATTAGTTTCTATTGGGTATCCTCAGGAGCTGCTCAGCTTTGCTTATGATTCTACATTCCCTACCAGGTAATTTTTCAATATATATATTTTTTATTAAGAACCCTTTCTCTATTCCCAAAATTGATAATTCCAAATTCATCTTTAATCAAAAAATAAAAATAAAAAGGTATTTCATGGTTTTTCTTTTTTTCTGAGGGAGGGCGATTGGTATTGATTCTTAAATTACCAAGATTTTTCATGTACACCATATCTTTTTTGTTCTTGAATTGAACTTAGTTTATTGTTATTGAAGAAGATCCATATATGGAAGAGAAAAGGGATTATTAAAACTGGTGGGCAGTAATCAATCACCAGTGCACCTACCTTTGGTTGTTGGAGAGCAGTTAAATGTTTTGCTGATACACTTAACTTGGTAACTACCTTCTTGGTAGTTTGCGTTTAAGATTAAGAAAGATGATTTTTTTTTTTTAAATGCCATTATCATATATGTTCCATATACAACATCTGATAGAGGGAAATATAAGCCAGCTCAGTTGTCAAGGAAATTAAGACTGTTTTAGAATGGAACTAGCTGTATTAAGAGGAATTATAGTTTATACCTTGTCTGATTAAGCTCTTATTCCTTAAGAAAGCAGTTGTGATTATTAATCTGAACAGAGAAAATATTTTTTAGTTGCTCTGGGATTAGTTTTTAAGATTTCATTTACTCATTTTAGCCTCTGGGATTATATTGTTTTGGGACATAACTTGAGTTGCCATAAAGTTTGAATAAGATAAAGTTGGTTCATGGTGGTTGAGTAATACTAAATAAGATAATTGCCTGTATTACTTTGCTTATTGCTGTCTTCTTCATTTTCACATAGGGGACTTGTCTTTGATACACTATATGGAAATCTTTTGAAAGTTGATGCCTATGGAAACCTTTTGGTCTGTGCACATGGATTTAACTTTATAAGGGGGTGAGTACAAAGAAACCTTTAACTTCTTTATAGTGTTTTTATAGTCAAACAGTATGAGGATGACATTGTCTCCCTGAATGTAATAATACTTTCCTGTTCATTTATCATAACTCTTTTACATAAGGATACTTAACAATTATTTATTAGGCAGTTAGGACCCAAACTGACTTGTAAACATAGTTAGCAGTTTCATTTTGTTTAAATTAAGTGCCTTCTAATTAATCAGCATTCAACAAAGCTAATCTTGAAACTTGCCCCAAAAGAACTCTGGTGGCTTTGACTTATTTGAAATTCTAAGATTTTTATTTTCTCCTTTTTAATACAGTTCTCAGGTAGCTGCACAGAAGAGGTATGTATATAAAAAGTATGCTTTGAAAAATTTTAAATTATAGCAGTGTAAATGACTGAGATTTTTAATAGCTAATACATGATTTCTTATATTCTAATGAATAGCTTCAAATATTTGATCATGTTAAAATTTTTTAAAACAGAGTTAACAATGAATACAGCGTGATATTTAAAACAAATAAGGATAAGCTTTATTTTCCTAATCAGAATATTTCCGCTATTCTTATTAATTTGGGCTGTTCACCCTAGTAAACAGCAGATTAAATTTAGTGTCGACAGACCTGCTCGCTCTGAGTACCAGCACTGGGTTGGCTGCACGGGGTCAGCAGGGACTTACGGGGGACACTGAATTGTTGGAGCAAGGGTACCAGAGGCAAGGCTTTCTCCCAGGCAGAAGTGTTGGCAGTATCCACTGTTCCTCTGTTGAGTCCTCCCCACTCCTAGTGTGTGGACTCAATGCCACCATAGCTGAGAGAGGTCATCGAACTGAATAACAGAGGTCGCTCAGCCCAGAGGAGTCCCTGAAATTCCACCTCTCCAAACCTGTGGCCCCACCCAAGCCACATCCAGTTGTGTCCTCAGTGAGCCCAGTGCTCCTTGCTGAGCAGCGCCAAGACTCACACTAGTGGCAGCTGACTTCAGTTTTTGGTGTGTCCTCTTGAGGCAACTATAAGTTTAGCATCTGCGGATTGCTCGCTGAATCTTAACAGGTGGCCCCCGAGGGGCACAGGATAGGGCTAAACTGGGCCTGCCGCTGAACCCCTCTCAGGACTGTGTCACTGAACACCTACCGCACAAAGCCACACTAATAAGACCAGGAGACTTAAGAGCTTTGCTTAGTACATAGACACAGAAAAGCAGCCAAATGGGGAGACAAAGAAGCAGAAACCATAAGAGAGAGCAGAACAGAGATCCAGAAATAATGAGGTCAAACAATCTAACAGATGCAGAGTTCAAAACACTGGTTATAAAGATGTTCAATTAACTTTTGGGAAAGTGTAGAGGAATTCAGTGAGAACTTTAACAAAGATAAAAAAAAAACCCATAAAAATAGAAATGGAAATTATAAAAGGGAACCAGTCAGAAATGAAGAACACATTACCTGAGATGAGAAGTATATTAAATGGAATAAACAAAGTGAAATAAAGAAGAGGATCAAATGACCTATATAGCGGATGGCAAAGTCAAGGACACTCAATCAGAATGGCAAGAAAAAAGAAGCCAAGACTATAAAAATAATTTAAGGAGTCTATGGGACACTATTAAAGATAAAAATATCCATGTCATAGGGGTTCCAGAAGGAAAACTAGATGTTGAAGAGCAATTTGAAGAAATAATGATGGAAAACTTCCCTAATCTGGTGAAGGAAATAGATAACCCCTGGAAGCTCAAAGAGTCCCAAAAAAGTTGAACCCAAAGAGGCCCACAGCAAGACACATTACAATTAAAATGCCAAAGGTTAAATATAAAGAAAGACTCTTAAAAGCAGCAAGAGAAAAGCGGTTAGTTACCTGCAAGGGAGCACCCATAGACTGGCAGCCAGTTTCTCAAAAGAAACTGTTCAGGATAGAAGGAGTTGGCACAAAATACTCAACATGATGAAAACTCAGGATCTACAACTAAGAATACTTTATCCAGCAAAGCTGTCATTTCAAGTCAAAGGACAGGTGAAGAGCTTCCCAGCAACACCAAGCCAATATCACAGGAGATGTTGGAGGAACTTCTTTAAGAAGAAAAAACATGTATCAAAAACACAAAGAATGGTAATAACTACATTCCTGTCAACAAGTACCTCAAATGGAAAAGAATTAAGTGCTCCAACCAAAAGATAGAGTGGCTGAATGGATAAGAAAACAAGACCCCTACATATGTTGCCTACTAGAGACTCACTTTAGATTAAAAGACACATACAGACTAAAAAGAAGAGGATGGAAAAAGATACTGCCTTGATGGACCCTAGATGGTATTGCACTGAATGAAATAAGTCAGAGAAAGACAAATATCACAAGATTTCATGTACATGTGGAATCTAAAGAACAAAAACAACAACGGAAATAAACTCATAGACACAATATTTTAAGGAATACTAGATGAGAGCGGGGTTTGGAGGTATGGGGGAAAAGAGCAAAGGGATTAAGAAGTACAAATGGATAGTTGCAAAATAGACTTGAAGATGTAAAGTGTAGCATAAGGAAAATAGTTAATAATGTTGAAATCAATATATAAGGGGGAAGAGGGGTACCGGATTTAGTGGGGTGATTACTTTGTGAGTTATACAGATCTGTAATCACTACACTGTACAGCTGAAACTAATATACTATTGTATGCCAACTGTAATTGAAAAACAACTCATTGAATGGTACAATGTAAATACAAGCAAACAAAAATCACAATACCACAATTTGACAACTTCTATAATTTTGGTTTTATAGTTACATTACATCTTCTCTATCATATTACTTAATTTAACCGCTGACACTGTATGAGGGTCAGAGCAACTCTTAAAACCAAAATATGTATTAATCTCTTATGTAACTTCATCATATATTATTCATTCTCAATGGCAAAGTTGTAAAAACTGTACAATCTGCATTGAAATTGTTAAAGAGACAATTTTTTTTGGTAAATATCTGTTGTGATGAGGCACAGGCTAATTGAAACTGTACTAGACTTTCCTTTAAATCTGAGGTGACAGCAAAGCCCTACTTAGAATCGAAGAATCTGATGCAAGATGCTTTTGCTGGTGTCAGGCTCAAAGATTTCCAAGAATACATAGTGAGGAAAGTGGCAGAAACACGCTGTCTTGACACATCTGGGCAGGCCTCTCTTTCACTGTTATTTCCGCCTTTCTTTTACTGTTCCTCTCATGAGGGGTTTGTTCAATATCCATGAATATCGGGAGACAGGATTTAGAACATGAAGTGATTGCAAATAATACTAGCAACCTACGCTATTTTACATATGGAATATTATCACTATAATTCAGAATCCCAGTGAAAGTGAACTAACATTCTATTTATTAATGTCTGAAAAGGGATTTTTGTGTAATGCGAGGAGAGGTAATCAGAAGAAAAGGAAGGGAAGCAGTTCTATAAATTAGTAGTACAATTAGATTTACTAACTCAATATCCACAGACCTTTCTTCCCCCAAATAAACCAGTAAACTTTCCAAATAACTCCTTTGGGAAACACATTAGTGTTTCAAAAATGAGTCATTTATGAGTCAATGCAGAATCATTCAAGCAGCACGCAGTACTGTACAGTCTGTAAAGTCAAAAGGAAAAGCCCATGGAGAAGGAGAGACGGTGGAGATGAGGGAGAGAGGTATTGAAGTATAGTGGTGGACAAGGCTGGAAGGGAAGTTAGGTTTCCATCAGACAGCACCTTACATACCTTGCCAATGAGTTGTGCCCTCTTTTTTGGACAACGACAAAGACTTTTTAAAAAGTTTTAGAATACAATAACATCGAGATCAAATCTGTATTCTGTAGGTCGCAGAAAGTTAGCAATAGTCTGTACTCTGTTTTCCACCCAACTCCAAGTCTAGCATTCCTTCATCATACATTACCTCCCCCTGAATTAATTTTGTATTTAAAATATATATTAGCATGATTTGACACTCAACTTAAAATAATTGTTAACTATATTCGTAAGTCATTTGGGGTTCTAATTGCCTAGTAAATAACTGTTAACTATCCTTATGTAAAGGAATTACTCTTTAATGATGGAATAGGAAAGTATATCTAAGGGGACAATGTCATCCTACTAAACCTGATTGAGGAAAGCGTATCATTACTATTCCTTTCTGCCCTAATTTTTATTGCAGAAAATCTTGGAAGGCTAGAACATGAGATATTCTACAAAGTTATTCTTTATTAGAACTCTTATTTCGGATGGGTGACAAAGACAGGGGGCAATGGGATTTTATATTTCTAACTAGAGTTTGTGCCATTTGTGGTTAACAAACCCAAGCAAGAATTTATCCATGTAACTCTTAACTATGGACTTTAAATTTGAGGTTCTTTATTTAGATTAGTTGATCTCTATAAATTTACCATGACAGTTGTGCATTTTTATATTTTAGTTCTCCCTTTTGGTTTCTCTGTAATATTTTTCTTCATATTACCCCCTTCCTCTTCTTGCAATATTTCATTTCACTCACCAAGTTCTCGTGCATCTCAAACTTTGGTTTCACTGGCTTTATTTTAAACCCTAAATGTTATCCATCGATATAATCTCAATCATCGTTCTCTATATCTTAAGTGGTCTTATCTATTTTAATAGTCTTCATAATTTCGCCTACTGCCTGTGTAGAGATGATTCCAGTTATCTCTCAGGTCGGAATCTCTGTTTTAAGTTCTTGACCTTTGTTTCTAATTAGCTATAAAAATCTGTTTACTTAAGCTTAATGTATCCAAAATAAAACTCTTATATCTACTCCAGTTTTCATATTTCTGTTAATGGTAGTGCCAACTCTGAGAGAGACCTCAGTGTGAGCATCATTATCTTCGATTTTCATGTTCCTCATCTGCCACACCCAATCAATTGCCTGATCTTGTTTGTTTTACCTTGACAGTCTCTCTTGAATGTAATTTTCCCTTTAATTTCCTTTGCCACCACTCTAGGGCAGGTACCCTACTGCTCATATCTGGACTGCGGCAATTATTACTTAATGGACCTCCCAGTCATTTGTCTCTGTGTCAGTTAGCTTTTGCTGCATAATAAATTACTTTAAAATTTAGTGGCTTGAACAATGACCATTTTATTTAGCTCAAAATTCTGAGAGTCAGCTGGGCAGTTCTGGGGTTGCTTAGCTGATCTGGAATTGCCTCACATGTCTGGAAGCTGGCAGCCTGTTGACTAGGGTGCCTCATTTCTGCATGTAGCCTTTTATCCTCCAGTGAGTTATCTCACTCGCATTCACTTAGTAGTCTCAGAGTTCCAAGTGCAGCAAGTGTAGGTAAGCCCCAATGCACAAGTGTTTTCCAAGTCTCGTATTTGGATCCCATTTACTGCTGTTCAAGCCTGTATTCAAGGATGGAATCTCTTAATCAGAGGAATTGCAGTCACAATATAAAGGGATAGGAAGAATTTGTAGCCATTTTTGTAAAATCACATTTCATTTTCCACTTTATCCTAAAACTGCAACTAATTTAAAGGTTTTACAATTCAGCTCTGATAATTTTATCCCTCTGCTTAAAAACTGTCGGTGGTACTCTTTGGCCCCTGAATGAAGTATAAGAACAATAGCATGATCTGCCTCAATTTATCTTTCTAGTTTTTTTGTTTGTTTGTTTTTTTCCTGTGCTCCCTTTTCTCTACTCAAATTGGACTAGTTTCTGAATTGGTCTACCTAGCCTTTAAGGACCAGCTCATATGCCGCCAATTTCATGAATCCTTCCTAGATTTTCCTCTCTTCACTCCCACATTCACTTCTCTCTACCCCCTAAGTTGAAATGGTCTCCCCTTCCTCAGTTTCCTCATAGCTCTTTGCACCTTTATTGTGGCAGTTGTGATTTTTCATCTTGTTATAATTGTCTGTGTATGTAACTCACCTCCCTTATCAGACTGAGAACTTTTAGAACTGGAACCCAAGCTTGTTCATCTTCATGTGTAATATTTGGAATCCTGCTTTGTATGTAGCCACCAAAATATTTGAATGCATTTTTGAATGACAAATATTTCTGTTATTATAATGTTAACTTTTGAGTGTCAGTTAATTAAAATTTTTTCTTTCAGACCAGAAACTAGAGAGCAGTATCCAAATAAATTTATCCAACGAGATGACACTGAAAGATTTTACATTCTGAATACACTATTCAACCTACCAGGTAGACTCATTCTATGCTTATATATACCGATCCTTTCTCTTCTTTCCATGATGATTTATCTTTGTTCAAGGGAGGTAATGAAATAAGTTTAAATTATCTCACTTATAGCTTATGAATATCTATTCTTCATTTTTCAGAAACCTACCTGTTGGCCTGCCTAGTAGATTTTTTTACTAATTGTCCCAGATATACCAGGTATGTACATACTATAATTTTTTTACCAATTGATTTTTTTAAAATTAATGTACAGGGTTTTAGAGAACTGGCCATTGTAGGTCTTTTCTGCTTTTCTGAAGTGAATTTAGTGCTAGTGAGAGATGCCACATTGCCAGCCTGAGAGATGGGACAGCACCAGCAGCTCCATGCAGGCTCTCACCTCCCACACGGCCCCTCTCCTTGCCAGTGTGCTGCAGCCATGTTTGGAAGGGACCACTTCTGATTGGCTTCTCCTGGGAATGAAGACGGCCAGCAGAGGTGCTAATTGTGACAACTGAGTGGGAGGTTTGTGTGATGATTATCTGTCCAAGCAGAATTACACTAAAACCCCCCTACTCATTTCACAGCAGCTACCTAGGAGCCATTCAGGGATGGTAATTTAGTTTCATTCCCAGGCCCAGCAAGATTTGATTGAGGAATAAATACTGTTTATCCTCCCTGAAGTAAAATTTTGCTAAAGTTTTGAACAAGTTATCCTCTCCTTTTGCGGGGGAATTCATAACCACTGGTGAAAGTTCAGCCATATGTACCAGTTTGCTAACTTCTTATCCCCTGTAGGCCTTATCCACTCAAGGCACTAAATTTGGTGGAGCAGTAAGTCACTAAGCTAAATAGAAAGCGGGCAATACCTTTGTACCTAGAGACAACGTCAGAAAAGTTGGTGCAGAGAACCTAAATTACCAATTTTAGGGTTTAAAATTTCTTTGATGGGAACCTGTTTCTTAAAAGTGATGAATAAAAGAACTTGACATTTTTGAAACTGGCCTTTTAGCTTTCATTCAGTATATTCTTCTATCACTTTGTATTTGTGCACAATTATTGTATTCCATTGAATACTATAGTCATCTCTGGTGGTCAGAATGGATTTTCATTAGGGAGTAATTATTTTCCTAATTAGCCAGCACCTTTATCCACGTAATAATGGAACCTTTGGGTCCCTGGGCAGTGTTTGATATTCATTTTATTTACCCCCCTTTGGATTCCCTGTCATGTTCTTTTCATTTTTCTGTAGCTGTGAAACAGGATTTAAAGATGGAGACCTCTTCATGTCTTACCGGAGTATGTTCCAAGATGTAAGAGATGCTGTTGACTGGGTTCATTACAAGGTACCTAAGAGCTGCTTCTTCACCTGCTCACTCTCTGGCATGTATTTTATGATTTGACACATTAACTTTCTAAGTGCAAATAGAACAGAATATTTCCTCTTAAAAAAGTGGATCTTTCCCCTAGTGATAGCTGGCTGTAATACTTTTACTCTTGTCTTTAGCTGTCCTGCTTTCAGAGGTGATGCTGATCTTTCCTCAATGGTGGTGCTTGGCTTCTAGATCTTATTTCAGTTTGTAATTCCCAAGCATACTGAGAAGAGATTTTAGTGTTAATATACTTACTGTATCCTTTGGGGATGATTATGATCATTTTGTTTTTTTCAAATATCTCACGCTTGACTAATCACACTAATATTTACATTTATTATAAATTTACTGAGTAAATATGAAATGCCTTTTTATTTCTAGTTTAAAGTAAAAATAGTTTTTTTAAACACATTTTGGAGGCAGAGTTGCAGCAAATCACATCTGTCACTATATCCTGGCCTTCTTCACTTTATCTACTTTTCCATTTTGGTAAATACTTAAGAAATGTATTTGGATTATTAGTAGACACAATTGTCTTATAAACTGTTAAAAACTGATTTTCTTCTTTTATTTCCCTTTTTCTTCCCCTAGGGCTCCCTTAAGGAAAAAACAGTTGAAAATCTTGAGAAGTATGTAGTCAAAGATGTAAGTAATAAAGGGAAAATAGATCTGCATGAGAGCTTGCTTTACCTGTTAGGGAAATGAATAACATGCCTATTTATAGCAAAATGGACAAGGGGTGATATTTTTTTGTCTTGGCATAATATATGCCAAGTATAATCACCATGAGTGTTCAGCTAGAGTATAGATCTTAGTATAGTTTTTCTTGTCTGTTGATAGTCAAGAAGACCTAGTATTCCATTTGTCTTTATAGCTTTAATTATAATAAAAGCAGATAGAGTGGTTACTGTGTGCACATCAGCATGCTAAGTGTTTACATGCATTATCTCATTTAATCTTCCATATAACCCTGAATTAGGTTTTGTTACCTCTGCTTTATAGATGAAAAAACTGAGGAATAAAGGGATTAAATAATTTTCCCAAGTTCATAGTAAGTTCATAAACCACCATGTCAGAATGTCTAAATGTACATATATGTAACTGTTAAATTGTCTTTAACATAACAGGAAATAATAAGCTTTAAAATATCTTAAAAAGTTTATAGCCATGCCACCCGGAACAAGCCTGATCTCGTCTGATCTTGGAAGCTAAACAGGGTCGGGCCTGGTTAGCACTTGGATGGGAGACCAACTAGGAAGACCAGGTGCTGTAGGCATAAAAAAATAAAAAATACAGGATTGTAAGCTGACAAGGTCCTTGCAATCTGTGAGGTCAACCAAGGGTTGCCTCACCAAATAAATAGATAGATAGATAGATAGATAGATAGATAGATAGATAGATAGATAGATAATTGAAATATCAATCTAGTTGAAATATTGGATGGGAGACCAACTAGGAAGACCAGGTGCTGTAGGCATAAAAAAATAAAAAATACAGGATTGTAAGCTGACAAGGTCCTTGCAATCTGTGAGGTCAACCAAGGGTTGCCTCACCAAATAAATAGATAGATAGATAGATAGATAGATAGATAGATAGATAGATAGATAGATAGATAATTGAAATATCTTAAAAGACACTAGTAGAAAACTTAATAAAATTCAGAAAAATCTGTAGTTAATAGTTTGTGCTAATGTTAATTTCTTAGTTTTAATAATTGTGCTGTGGTTATGGAAACTGTTGATATTAAGAGAAGCTGGAAGAAGAATATATGGGAATCTTCTGGACTATTTTTGTAACTTTTCTAAAAGTCTGAAATTATTTCAAAATAAAAAGTAAACACACACACAGCCATAAGATGAGATACATGTTCCTTTTCTTACAGAGTAAAAGTAGCATAGTGCAATATTTTCTCAAAGTACTTTGGTACAGATTTGTTGTTTTTGGTCTTTGTACCTCATTTCCCCTCCATTTCCACCCCCACCTGTTTCAAGAAAGAATGCTGAGGGGGTCAGGAGAGGTCCAGAAGAATTTGAGTAAAGGAATCTATTTACTGTGAGAGAAAAAAAAGCTGTTTTTCTTTCTGGTGACATAGGAGTTAGAATTTCCTTATGTATCTGCTGGCACATCTGGACATTGCTAGGTTGCATCCTGCACACATTGTTTTATTTCTGCAAGATATTTTTTAAAAGGAAAGTATATGCAATTAAGCTGTATCTCCCTATATAGAGGATTTTGCTGGTGATGTTTAAAATCAGCTTCTCCTGATCTGTAGCACACCTAATTCACATACTTTAAGAGATCACAAGTTAATTTAAACTCTTTCTAGAGGCAGACATAATGAGGAAGGTAGATATATGTTTTTAATAAGCATATAATCATTTCTATGAGTCATTTTATGTGAAATCTATATATTATCTACACCATGTATATTACATTTGTTAATTCATGCATAATGATAATGTGGTTTTTCAAATGCAAAATTCTGAAACCAACCAACCCTTAAAGGGCATCTCCTGTTATTTCAGTGGACAAAAGTCCATTATATCAGTGGTCCACAACTTTTTTGGCACCAGGGACCAGTGCTCCTATGAGACTCTAATGCCTGATGATCTGAGGTGGAGCTGAGGCGGCGATGCTAGCGCTGAGGACCGGCTGCAAATACAGATGAAGCTGCACTGGCTTGCCTGCCGCTCACCTCCTATAGTGCAGCCCAGTTCCTAACAGTTGGGGTTGGGGACCCCTGCAGCATATGACTACCTCACAGTTTAAATGAATATATGTTTGTGCTTTAGTATTTCACTCATCATTTTATTAAATTTCAGGGAAAACTGCCTTTGCTTCTGAGCCCCATGAAGATGTAAGTGCATAATATTCATATTTGTTTATTTATACAGAGGAATTATTTTGGACTAAAGAACTGTTACGATAATGAGGAAGATAGTTTTTTAAGGGTAGTTTCTGCCATTTCATTTTGAAAGCAGAGTGAAAAGAGCAAAAATACATAATATAAGGGCTACATCAAATTTTCCTAAATATTTTATTTTGACTATTTTCCCTGATTACAGTTGGCTACTTGAACGCTTTAATTCGGAGTTTATTTACAACATTTATGCTGATTATAAAATGGCTTCTGTGCCTCTTTGGCACATTATATATATAAACTTAAATCACACCCTTTATTGTACATGCATACATACCCTCCCCGCTATTGGGAGACAGACAGCAATAGATAGTTCAAAGATGTTTTAACTCTTAGCCGTCAAAATTTACTACTGCTTAATTTACATTTTTTTTTTTTTTTTGCCATGATTACAAAGCATGTAGAAAAGCCGATTGAACTCCTTAGCTTCATCTTACTTTTGCTGACAGTTACAAGTTCATAGTAGTAGCAAGAAGTTCAGTGCTTCCCATCTTCTTTATGTAAAATCTTGATTTAGAAATCTGGCGATTTAGAGTAAGTGGCTTACAAAGCCAGTGGTTCATTAGCTTAGTTGGTCTGGGAACATTAGTAAGAAGGCCAAGGTATGTTATTTCCATGTAAGTCATTAGTTTTCTCCATGCTTCTGCATCAAATGTCTTTTACTTCCAAATATGTGTTCCAGTCCACTAGTTGAATTGGATAGGGATATATGGATGAATCTGTATAAAACTCTCTCCTAGAAGAAGCCCATGTCTTATTGGAATGTCAGAAGTTTTTGTATGTTTGTGGTTAATGATGAAGCATTAATTTCTGGCTTCCATATAAACTTTAGAGAAAATAAGAATGCGATGAATCTTATATTGAAAAATACATGTCTTATGAAAAGCTTGTGGGGTTTTCTCTTTTGCAGAAGTAGTATATGGATCTTATGTTGGATTTTTTTTTTCCAGAAAATTATGACTTACCTGTTCGATTTCCCACATGGCCCCAAGGTACTACGTGTAAATTAATAGACCATTGCTTTAGTAATAATAAATGCATTTAATCAGCCTGAAATATTGATGGTTAGGAATTGGTCAGGAACCATCCAGAAATCTTGCAGGAGCCGGTAAAATTTAAAGTTGCTAGCAATCGGAAAACTTGGTACAGAGAAACAAAAGAGAGATTCATGTCATATTAAGTAGGATGGGATCAGAATAAGTTTATGCCCAAGAAGTTCTATGCAGAATTGTTAAGTTTGTGTGGCAATGAAAAGAATTTTCAGGTTGAAGAAGATACCCGATTAAAAGAAACAAAAAATATGTATATTCGTAATGCCATCTAGATTTTACCATTAGTTATTGTGCCAAGAGAACAGTTAACCTTGATACTTAGCAGAGAAGTCTATATTTCTGCAGCATAACTGCACTTAGATTTAAGGAACATTCAATGCAATTTAATCACATACTCTTGGGATTTCGACTAGATTTCTTTGAATAAATGTCAGTAAATTCCTGCTTTGAGGTCACCCAAAAGCACAGAATGCAGTGCTTTTCAGCTTGACCTTAAATGATTAATGCCATTTCAGGATGGGCATAATATTAATGGGCATAATTTTTACATTAGTGCTGTGGTTAACCTGCAGTATGAGGCAAAAGCCAATGTATACCTAGAGCCATCATTCTGAAGACATAACCAGTAAAATTTCCTAATAGTTCCATGTTAGTTTATGTACTTTTGTTCTGATGCTGATCTGCCTCTTTCTTAATTTCTCTTGAGTTTTGATTTGTGTCCCTCCTTAGCCCCTTGAGGCTTTTTTAGCCCATTTCACAGTATGAACACACTTTCATGTATTAATTTGCTGTGAAATAAGTTAATAAGTAGTAGATTAAATAATTGAAGATATAGAGATTTTGGAGTCATTATTTATATTTTCACCATGCCTGCTCCCAAAAGGATGTGGCTTATAATAAGATAGAATATGTTTTTAATTAAATAGTGGACTCTTTTGAATATATCACTACTTCTACATTCCTTGCATCTGAGTGCCTTAAGGTTAGGAGTGACGTTTCAGCTCTTGCTGTTTCTCCTTCATCAGCCAGGGAGCTCCCATCGACCATGGCAGTCCTACTTTGACCTGATCTTGGTGGATGCACGGAAACCACTCTTTTTTGGAGAAGGCACAGTACTGCGCCAGGTGGATACTGTAAGTCAAGAGGATGATCTATTAGCACATTGTCCTTCATGTTTCTCCTTTTCCCATTCCTACTCTCCCTAAGGAAACAGGTATTTTTAACTAATTAGCCATATCTTTTTTTTTTTTTAAATTATTCTAAGAGTTTTGGTCTTAATTGATATAGCCAAATAATTTAAAAGAATATAATTCAAAAGCGCCGTTCATATGGTTGCCTAGCCAGGTAGCATTTTGGGTGGAGATTTTGATAGAATGATAAAGTACTACAAAGTCCATATTCTCTTTTCATAGAAAACTGGCAAACTGAAAATTGGTACCTACACAGGCCCCTTACAGCATGGTATTGTCTATTCAGGAGGTGAGTTGCACACTTCCCTTTATTTCGTGTAAGTCTTTGCTCAGACCTCACTGTGAAAGCTCTGATTCCCTCCCAGCATAGTGGCACATATACCTTTTAGGATTCTAAAGATAGCATCTACTGAAGGTATATTTAAGTCACCTACTAATGCAGTAGGAGGCAGGGAGAATGGGTTTGAGAAGTTGTTATTATGTCCCAATGAATCTTTGATTTTTGCTGAAAGGATCCATTTTCCCCATCCTTTTACTTATTTTGAAGCTTTTCTGAGTGTCCTGGAATCGTCTGAGGTGCTTCTCAAGGAGTCCTTAAGGAACCTCTGTGGACACAAATGGATATTTTGTTGGAGTGAGAAACAGTTGAACAAAACCAATTTAATGGACAATCTGTTATGAGAAAATGCAGTGGTACTTGTGAGGGTTATATACACTAAAGCTGTGAGACATGTAGTTTTGTTGCTCTTGGATTTGGTCAAGAGCCCTGGTCAGCACAGTGGAACTGAAAGCCTTGTCTTAGAGGCAATAAAAAGAATGATGAAAAGAAGACAATCGTGAGTCTTAAAGACAATGACCCACAATTGAGCTCCTTTTCTAGATATGTCCCTCACATAATTATAAGAATAAAATCAATTATATTAATGGTTATGGTACTTGGGGCACTAGTTTTTAATATGGAGACATTTTCGTTTTCTCATTGTTCATTCCATTGTTTCAGGTTCATCTGATACAATCTGTGATCTGTTAGGAGCCAAGGGGAAGGACATTTTGTATATTGGAGATCACATTTTTGGGGATATTTTAAAATCAAAGAAACGGCAAGGGTGGCGAACTTTCTTGGTGATTCCTGAACTTGCACAGGAGCTGCACGTCTGGACTGATAAGAGTTGTAAGGAGCCATTACTCTTATTTTATCAGTCGTTGATATAGCTAGTGTTTATCTAAATGGCCAGCTGTGAACCAGTCCTCTTTGATGAACCATTATTTTGTATGCATGAGGTCAGAAGTATTCAAAAGACAGGTCTTGCTGTTTGTATACCTCCTTCCCAGATAGCCAGATATTTCACAGAACTCCGGAATTTGAGGTAATATGAGGTTATCTTGTTTAGCATTCTTCTTGAATCCCATCAAGGTTGAGTATAAAATGTTATTCTCCCAAGTTATATTATAATAGCAACTAACCTGTGAACTCTACTTTCCTCTGTAGTCCCATATTTGTCCAACCAAGCTACTAGTTCCAGTCTTTTGGCTACCAACCCATATCTGGGATTATGGGGCATTGATGGTTCTGAGTGTTAATCACCTCCTGGTATTTTTTATTTGCTCTTCTAAGAAGTAGAGAATGAGGCCAAATTGCATTCCTTGAAATGAGCTACACTGTGTACACTGAAATATGAGCTTGGATCTAGGTATGTAGTAAAGATATTTGACAATTTATCCAACCAGTCCTAGCTACTAGCATCACCCAGTGTGGTGAAAGGTAATGCCTGCATGCCCTTAGGCAAGTTACTGAGACACTTGTACCTTAGTTTCCTCAAATGCGAAAATGAGGATAATAATAATACCTACTTCATAGAGCTGATGAGACTTGACTGAGGTAACGTGCGTATAAAGAAGGTAGAAGTAACAGTCTTTCTCAACCAAGGCTCCTCATCCAGACCCCAGAGAAGATGATCAAATGACTCTTCAGTTCTCGCAAAAATGGCAGATAAATTTTTTATATACAGTAGATACATTAAAGCTTAATTCTCTTTGGGGAACCCAGGTTGAGAAAAGCTGGAACACACAGAAAGCATGTAGTAGACGCTAGCAGTTGCTGTTGTTTATACTTACCAGTGGGATTTTCAGGCTAGCCTTTCACCCACATTTTCAGCTTTCCATCTGTGAAGTTCTAGACACCTAGGTGATTTGGCTGTATTTCCTGGACTTGTAACTCTAGACAAGTCACCTAATTCTTTTACTACTTGCTTTGCTAATACGATTTAGATAGGAATATGAATTGGCACTTGGTGAGCTCAGAATCAGCATCTGGTTGGAAGGAGAGTCGTAGTCAGAAGGGCAGTTAGAGGAAACTGGTGTTCGTCTGCTGCCAGATTGCAGACAGGATATGTGCATAAGTTTTCCTGAAGGGGCAGAGGAAGAAAGTAATTTTATCTACTCACTTATGGCTTTACTTTTCAGTCATATCTACAACTTTTTAATATAGTTTTTAGCAATAGTTAAAAACTGGATGCTTTTTATTTAAAACATTTTCCTTTTCTTTCCAAACCTTAACTAGCACTTTTTGAAGAGCTTCAGAGCTTGGATATTTTCTTGGCTGAACTCTACAAGTAAGTTTCTTTCCTAATTCTAAAATTTTCTTCCCTAAAACCTATCTACCTCTTTGGGAGTCACCTAGGTGTAAGGGATGTCTTTTCTAGACATTTTCACTGGATTTTTTTTTTGTCTCCAGGCACCTTGACAGCAGCAGCAATGAGCGCCCAGACATTAGCTCCATCCAGAGACGTATTAAGGTATCCAAGTGGGATTTGGGAGAAAACTTAGAAAATAAAGTTTAAGTGATTTTCCTATTTGATTTTATACAAGGACTGGCACATAGCCAGTGCTCAATAAATATTTTTTTGAATGAGCTGACAATCACCGTTGTTCTTTTAGAAAGTAACTCATGATATGGATATGTGCTATGGGATGATGGGAAGCCTGTTTCGCAGTGGCTCCCGGCAGACCCTCTTTGCCAGTCAGGTGATGCGTTATGCTGATCTCTATGCAGCATCTTTCATCAATCTGCTGTATTACCCATTCAGCTACCTCTTCAGAGCTGCCCATGTCTTGGTGAGTTAATACAGCTGTAGGCTGTTTACAGTTAAGATATTCTGAAGGCCAAGATCTGCAGCCAGCTTTGTGGGATGGGATGGGAGAGTTTGGATCATTCCTTTTTAACATGCTCGAAGCCCAAGGGCAGGTTGCACAAAAAGGAGTCTTTGAGAAAGTGTGATTAAGATAGATTACAGGATATAACTTTACTCTGAAATCTACTCTATTAAAAGTTGTTTAAACGGTGAAGACTTTCCTCTTTTATTAGCACTAATTGAGAGAAATGTGGTTTTTATATTCCATTCTGATACTGATTTATATTTCAGCACTGTTTTTCTGTGAAATGAGAAATAAGGCTCTCTTTTTTTCCCATCTTATTCAGTTTCAGACTATAGTAAACAATCTGGGCACAGTTTTGAGGGTTGGAGAGAGAAGATAGGTAGCTTTAGGTAGTTCTGGGAAGACACTTCAGTATCTAACATGGCTTGGCCTCTGGTCGAGGATAGACATCCCCGTGTATGGCCACCTAAAGGGGGAACTGGGGAAATAGCTATTTTGCCCCCTCCACTTTCTGAACCTCTGACTTTATTCTAGATGCCTCATGAGTCAACAGTGGAACACACACATGTAGATATCAATGAGATGGAGTCCCCCCTTGCCACCCGGAACCGTACTTCAGTGGATTTCAAAGATTCTGACTACAAGCGGCACCAACTGACACGGTCGATCAGCGAGATTAAACCCCCCAACCTCTTTCCACTGGCCCCCCAGGAAATTACACACTGCCATGATGAAGATGATGATGAAGAGGAGGAGGAGGAGGAGGAGGAAGAATAAGGAAAACCAAAACTCTAAGTACCCATTAAACACTTTCTGGCAGGACTCACAGGAACAGACCATGTCCCTGTCTGGGTTCTAGGGGTGTGGGGGTGACTCCATCAAAGGTACATCTGAAAAGTTTCTGAAGAGTCTAAGATATTCTAATCATAGGGAGATACTTGTTTTAGTTTTGTGTGTCTGCATTCTCTACAGATGGTTCAAAATTGTAATGAAATCTGTATTGGAAGAAAGGGTAAAGCTGGGCTGAAGTGCATGCAGAGAGCTCTGTCGTGGTTTGTGACACTGTTTCCATGTCTTGTTTCATTATCAGTATTGCTGAAAGGTCTCTGGAATAAGGATGATGATGGGAAGAAGTGATCCAAAAATGCTATTGTTACAAATTGTGCTCTTACTCCAAAATCCATCTTTTTCAGTGCATTACATAGTATTGTATATCATTGGAGAAATATATAGTTTTAATTATCAAATATAGTCTTCTGTTACAGTCTAGGTTCCTTTTATGAGCTTTTAAGTGTCCTCAGTGACTCTGGAAAAGCTGTTACCCATCAGTGGCTTTGCAGAAGTGTTCTCTCCTTGTTGTAGGGTTGATCTGGAATGGACCGCAGTGATTTCATTTTGAGGCAAAAGTCTTCATCTATTCTACACTTCTGTGATTGATACCAAAAATGTTTGTTTTCCAAAAAACAATCTATAGAAAGAATTTAGCTGAAAGAGGACAACGGAGCAAACCCCCAAAGAAAAAAGAGGAACCTCCTCCTCATATTACAGAATAACTGAGTAAAATTCATTTGTGTGGGCTCTGTGAATCACGCTGCCCAATTCCAGCCTTCTCTGTCCTCTGGGGTTCATTGCTGTATTTCCAAGTAGAGGATGGTAAGCGGGCTTTGTAAGCCGGAACCTTACTAAAGCAGAGGGCACAATCAGTGTGAATAAATTCACTTTGGAATCTCAAGTGAAATCACTTCTTGTTGTTTTGAACAAGAATGGATCATTACTATATACTTTAGGGTATTATAACTGCCTCCCAACACAGTGAATGTTATTAAAACATTTTTAACAGTGGTGTAGACTCTTTAACCTTCACATAGTTCTTCCATTCATATTGTCACTGGTCAACATGGGAGAGCAGATTAGCCGCTCTAGAATTCAATAAAGTATAATATTTCTAATACTGACTTTGACCCTTTCCTGTAGCACAGCTCTGTAACTACCAGTCTTCAGGTGGGTTTAAGGTTTGGGTTAGTGACATCAACTTGACTTTAGCATGGTTAATTAATGGTTAAATTTATACTACTTAAATAAACCTCAAAATTCTTGCATGGAAAGTTTTTTGGTATAGGACTATGAGGTGAGACTTTTTTTTTTTCTTTTAAAAGTCATTTTATAGGTAGAGAACACAGAAACTTAGCCAAGGCCATATTACCTCACCATTTTCAATATCTGTAGCTTTACATGAAGTTACAGAAATAAATATATTCTTAGTATTAGAAATATGTGCTACTTATTACAACTACAGAGCTAACTTATAATAGTATATTTATATACTTTTCCTTTTAGAGCAAGGACTCACATGAGCACTTTGCTTTAATTTACCACACTTTTTGTATTTTGTTGTCCACATAAGATCTTCTCATCTAGTAGTTTTTGTTTTTTGGGGTTTTTTTTGGTCAGATGTCTCTCTGGCAGTGGGTCCAAAGACTAAGAAGTAAAAAAATACATAATTGCAGTAAGAAAGAATTCCATTACTGTCACAGCTTTCTTCAGGACCACAAAAATATATTTTAAAGAGCTAAGGTTCCGTAAGAGTCTATAAGACCCAGAAGGGAATGTTCCTTCTATGTACATTATTCCTGTTATGAAGAAGAGTATGCTGGAGGGTAAGTGGTCTATGGGCAGGCACTCAGCACTGCACTTGGGCTCGTTAAACATGAATGTGAGTTTCTCTGAAGCTGAACTTAAAATGGATGATGCCCCCACCTTTTTTAAACCTGATGCATTTAAAACTGAGAAGACAGATCTTCCAATTCTTCAGAATTCCTTTCCTGGGGTTTTGGAAACCACCTAATGTTCAGGCTTTGTAAAAGTACCAGGTACCCTTTTTTGTGTGCTGGACTGAACTCACAATCTTAGGGCATGTACAGGCTAAAAGGGACCCTGGTGCACACACCCAGCAGCGGGTCAGAGGCACAGCAGCAGTTCAGGGTTCCCTCTGCAAGATGACTCACCCTGTACATTCATCTCTGTAAAGATGGTCAGTAAAGCTCAGGTGGTATATTTCAGAAAAGTTGGTTAAAACCAAGAAAGTTGTGTTCTGTTTAGACTTTAGATTTTTCTCCTACCATAAGCAGAGCTCTGCTGAGACCTAAAATATAAGGCAAGCTTTCCCAACTGCCCTTTTTAAGATGCTTTTAGGAGAAGTGGTTCTTAATAGAACTAGAATAACTTAGAGCTACAAATCCTGTAGTCATGTTAGTATTGTTTTTAAGCAACCACTTTGAAACCACTTTCAATGGCATGTCAGATTTAAAAGTACTTTGTCCATGTTTAGATATTTCTAAATCAGATTTATTTAAGAAATATTTTGTCAACAACTTTAAAGCCATGTAATTTTTCCATGGCTGCCAAGTGCATTTAAAAATACTTTGCTTATTCACCACAAATAGCCCGAGACAAACAACTGCATATCTAAGTCTGCATTAAGGGTAGGAGCCTTGTCCACATTCCGTGTTATGGAAACTATTCAACCATTCTTTGATGGTGGGAAAAATGGTAACTATGATCTAGCTACTGCTGTACAGTTAATGGCCCAATTCCTCACTTGGTCTAGTAGTCTCAGTACTTAGGTTTCTCATGACATTCTTTCTTGATGACTAGAGCATAGAGCTCTTAAAAGTTTTTCCTCAAATGGAACGATTTCAAATGACACACCACTTTAGGAGGCCCTGAGAATGAATGCTCTATCGTGGAGCTACCTTTCAAGCAGCCTGGAAAACAAAAGAAAATTAGTGCGCCACCACCAAGGAGTGGGAGGAGATGCGCATACGCAGCAGCCAGGAAGCAGAGCCAGGCGTCATGGTAACTCCCGGCGGCTGGTCCTACACCTCCACTAACAACTAAGAGAAGCAGCGTGTCACACTGTTCTCACTGCTAGGCATGTAGAAATAGCAGAAAGCAACTCATATAAAAAGAATGCATTCATTTACAGAATGAACAAGGCAGCTTTTCTATTTAACCTGGCAATCTCAACCATTTTTCCCCTGTCCTCAGACACAATGTCGTCATTCCAAGGCCACGACAATCTGACTCGTTCTAACAAAGATGTAATTTCAAAAGTAAAATACATACAGTAATTTAAGTCCCTCTGAAGAGCTTTAACACAAAAAGTACTCCCAATTGAACACAATATTTCAATCTCAAGCTTGTTGACTCTGGTTCTGCAAGTCTAAGTAATCTATATTTTCCAGTTTAAAAAACAAAATGACCAATGACCAATTTTTGGTTTGGTCTCTTTGTTTCTTCCTACAAAATAAGATATCTTTGCTCCATTTTATTACTAAAAAAAAAGTGGATCAGACACATTGTTTCCTGAACCAAATCAGGTACAAATATGTCTCCAAATGCTTGCTCTCCTGTTGAACTCTCCATAAAGCTATGTCTAGCCAGGGCTATAGACGAGGCCTGAAGAGCCTGAGCCAGGATAAACATCACTGCACACACACTGGAGCCCAAGCTGCTGAGTGCATGTTCTTCCCATGAAAGACAGCAATAGTCCTTCCAGCTCTCACAAGTGCCCAAGAACCCAGGAAAGAGGATTTGCCAAGCAAACCTTCCCAGCATAGAAAAATGTTTATTAAATGTCCAGCTTTTTTTGAGAGAGAGGGTTCTCACCAGAGGTCATCTTTGACTTGTGGGTGGGTGTTTTCTGAAGCAAGTAACTTCCTATTTGGACCCACTGCTATCAAGTCACTGATGTAGCAGGACCGTGGTAGGGAAGCTGGCTCAATCTAAAAATTCCTGCCTTGTCTTGGCCTCGTGTTTGAGTGCTTCACGATCACTAATACCCTAGCAGGAAAGCCCTTGTGACAACTCTGGCAACTGATTCTCCCTTGTATCCTTAGGCCTTGCAGTCATCCACCAGGAGAGATGGCATGCCACCAGAATGTCACAGATGTGAGGATCTTGGAGGGAAAACAATGGAAATTATACAAAGCAAAAGAGCTTACTAGCCATCTAATATAATTCTTTGGCTTTAATAAGGAATCATCTCTATTGAATTACCTTTAAAAAGTATCAGATATGTTTTCAGAAATCAACGCCAGGCTATGAAAAGGTCATTCAGTTTGTACCACTTACTTTCTCTACAAGATCCTCTGATCACTATCTGCGTCCTCGGAAATGCTGAGCTGAGAAGAGGCCCTGGGGAGCACAGTTTGTTATATGAAATAGAAACCCCAGAGCGTTTTTAACAATAAAGCTTAGAAATGAACCGACACACGAGCACTCCATGGATGCAGACAGAAAGGCAAATCTCATCTCACAGTAGGGAAAATGGCCTCTATTTTCGTTGGAGAATTTCTGATTTAAACTCAGGATTTATCTAGACAAAGCAGGAGAAACTAAGCAACGTAGCCAGCTGGGAGTGGATGTGCTGGAGAGAGCATTCCTTCCCGGCCCCGCTCACGCTTTCTGCTCTGCTCCTGAGGAAAGCAAACAGGCTCCTAGGAAGGGAACACTTCCCTGAAATACAGACCTCCCTCTACTCTCATGAAATGGGAGTAATGACTGGGGGAAGGTGGGGTGGTGGTCAGGCAGTGTCTCATCTTGTCAGCAGTTCTTCACTGAAATGTCTCCATCCACAGGACAAGAGACCGCAAACATGATTAAATAAGACAGTGGGAAAAGTAAGGGACCAGTCATGATGAAGCTCAACTCTCAGAGTACAGTCCTCTTTGGAATATGGAGACTAAGAGTAAAGAAGAAACAGATTCCAAAAAGATGTGGTCTAGGAATGGATCACAGAGGGGCCATGAACCTTGACCTGAAGATCTTCAGGAGCTGGTCACATATAAGTGAGGAGGGGGAGGAAGGAAGAGAAGCCTTGAGAAAGTGCTGATGGAAGAGGATGTGGACCACACACTGGATGAGAGAGAAAGGCGCCCACCGAATCCTCAAGAGCTCGGAAAATGACTCACCACACTCGGGCCCAGTGTTTCTAACTCGAGGGAGAACTGCCTGTGCGTGCTGGACCCTTTCTCCTTCCTAGGCTTCAAGGAGCAGAGGCACGGAGCCGTTTTTATCTTTGAGAGCCAACGAGAGGCTTGGATGAGGCCTCTGGTCTTGTCTAGTAACTGAGCAGCAAAAGTCCAGGGCAGTTGAGTGGCAGCGTCTTTACCTAAAATGAACTGATAGGGGACTATAATCCTGGGAAAGGAACACCACCCTGGAATTGGCTGAATCAGGCTTTAAGTTGGAGGCACAGTTCTAGCGCCCACTTTTAACACAGACTTTGTGATATGTGAGCAGAGGAAATGCCCTGCTGTGTTGCCATGCTGACAGCCGATGCCAGCTTTCCCTCCAGTAAAGCCCTGCAGCTGGGCAAGGGAGCAAGGCTGGTGTTGCACGGATGAAGGGGAAAGAGGGAACACACATCCGTTAGAACGGTGAACAGAAAATCATTTATCTAAATAGAATAGAAATGAACAAAAACCTTTTAAAACAATCACAAAATTTACAAATAAATTGGTACAAAATAAATAGGAGATTGTAAATCTACAACATCATTTCAATTATAAAATGCATTCATTATGACAATCAGCTCATGAAACCTATACAGTCACTTGTGCTTCAGGTTTACGTACACCGCTCTGAATACCGTGTTCAGAAAACTTCACTGCTGAAAAGCATGAATGTACACTATGATACAGTGAGTAAAGGCTAAGGAGGATGAAAATGGAACACAAAGCAGGGTCTTAATTGAGGGCCAAGGCAATGTTGGCATTGGGCCTCAAAACCAAGAAAAGGCATATTAGAAGCCCAGACAGCTTCCATGGTCCAGAGAGATGGATTCTGTAATCCAAGGTGGGAATTAAGGTGCCATTACTATTGTGGGGTCAGGCCCCTGACCTGGCTTGGGGTGAGGGGGTAGGAGTGAAGGAGGAGGCTCTGGTCTCAGGGCCATGCTGTACCACTACACAGAGAATAGACCCAGTCACCAGGAAACCACGTCCTAAAGTATTTCACAGAGGTACTTGAGAGGCCCTGCCACAAGGTAAGAGACCTGCTTCAATCCTTGTCCCAACACTGGTCATCAGGAATAGAGGTGGTCCCAATAAAAGGGGCTGGGGACACGAGGGCCAACATAACAGCAGCAACCTGTTTAAGACAAAAAAAAAAAAAAATTGCTGCTTTCTCCCTCGCTTTAAGAGACAACAGGACCATGGGCTCCATGGACGAGGGGGTCCAGAACAGATCTTTTAGTCACAGACGATATACTAACATTAGAGGCATATGTACATAATAAATAATATAAAATAAACCATATACATTTGTGGACTTAAAGGACTCCAGGAACAATAAAGTCAATGGACTGATACACTCTACCTTCACAATAGACTTCAGACACGGGAATCAATGAATCAGAAGCTAGGCTGGGGCTCTCTGGGGAGTGGGAGTCCTGAGGCCTTAGTCTCCCCCACTCCTTTCTGCTCTGGGAGCCTGAGAACAGCTGTTTATATCTAAGGGGCCCAGGCCTCCAACAAAAAGATCAGGCATCCAAGCTCTACCAGGTCCCTTCGATACTTCTCTCCAGAGGAGTCTAGCTCCAGAAGAATCACTTCCCTTGTGAATCCATGTGGGTCAGATGGGGGCAAATGACAGAAGATACCCTGCCAGGTGATGCAAGACGGTACTCTCAGTCATTCGATCTGTTCATGTTTTAATACCCCACCTGGGTATTAAAACTTGAAAGCATGTACCGACTGAAGACTTCCTTATAGTACGTGTTGGATCTGTGTACACAGGAACCTTGCAATACAAACTCCTAGGACTTTACTCTCCTACCACTAAAAACCTTCATTTCCATGTTACTTCAAGTACAGCCTGCTATTTCCTATCAAAAGATATTTAGAACAATTCTAGTGAGATGATGTCAGTGGCTCTAGCATATACAGAGTGAATATTTATTTGGTTGAATTGAGCCAACCCAAAAGGTCTAAGAAACAAAGAAGGTCCCTAGCCCAAGATGGTGGGAGGGAAGCTGCTCTAAGCTCTGCAGTTGCTATGAACTACCTTCTCTTCCCTCCTGTCCTTAGGGCTGACCACACAGGGCAGAAGGAGGCAACCAGCAAGGAAGAATTCACTGCAGACAGAACACCTATATGATCTAGAGTAGGAAGGCCCACCGACACAGCCTTGAGGGATGGTAGTAACACTGACAAGATCTGGCCTGGGTGCATCACTCACCCTGGAGTGGAGACAAATGAACCTCAGCTTAGAATTCTCTTAACTCCTATTCTCCTATCAGCTCATTTGAATACAAAAGAAATACGAAAAGATAAGATCTGCAAATGGCCCTGAGGTATTAAAATTCACTGAGTAGTCTGATCACTGATAAACTTACACCAGAAGTTTCTGAATCCCCAAATCATTTCCATATTGAACTTTCTACATCCCTCTTAATTCTGGGTTAATTTACAACTTACCCAGATACCCTTGCTGGACAGAAGCACCACTAGCCCAGAGCCCAGAATGGAATGAAACCTGACCCAGGTCTAGAGCGTGTGTCCTCAGTAGGAAAGTGAGCACTGGTGACTCAAAAGTCTCCACACCCTTCACAGCCAGCTCAGCCTTGGAGTTCGCCTCGACCCCCTGAAAAACAAAACAAAGCAAAACAAAAAACCTGCCTCTAGGACCAAAGCTGAGGGGAGTTGGTCCCATGGCCCACGCACGCCACCAGTGAGGTTGGGTCGTGTGCCAGCCCGGGTGAGTCCTCTGCCTGGGATCACTCCTGGGGAACACTGGAGGAATCCTAGTCTCCTGACCCAGGAAAGGCGAAGATAGCCACTGACCCCTGACTAGCTTTCATAAGATGACAGGGTTGGGTTTTGTTTTTATTGCTGACCAGCCAAGATACAGGCTCGATCAGCCATGGCACACTCAGGTCTACTCCTCAACCCGAGAGAATCTGAGGGCAGAAGGTCAAGGTACTGTTGCTTCATTTCCTAGGAAAAATGCAAATTCTACTTGTATCTACCACTCTTTTCCTAGACTTGAACAAGCTGGTGCTTTAGTCATATGGTTGTGGGGATCGCACAGGTAAATATGTTCACAGTTAATGTTCCATATTAGTGTGGAGTTCTGCATTCAACATTTGCACAAAAATTCCTTGAAATAACTTTAGAGAATGGTAAGATGCCCTACTTCCTTCCACTTGGGGAAGCTAACCATGGCAGCATGGAGACTGGAGTGAGGTGAGGAAGGAGGGAAGAACAGAGTTAAATGGGTGACTACCCTTTCGAAGTCAAACTCAGTAAGAACCACAGCTTAAGCTAGTTGATTAACACCCAATATACATGTACAAATCTTAAGGACCTATTTTCCTAAGAGTTTACATGATTTGGGACTTGCCTGATGAATATAAAACAAGGGAAAGAACGTCTAAGGCAGTAGGAAAAAAACCACTTTCATTTACAAAGGGAAAGCAGATGCTCCTGGAGACATCTGAATACTAGGAATCCAATTCCGGGTGGGACCTTTGCAAAACCAGAGTGGCCACTTAGGAGGAAGAGGTGGTTCCACAGCAGGGGCCACTGTGCAGAGAGACGACAACGGCTCTGGCAGGATACAGGACCCCAGGACCTGCATCTGCTCCACGGCCCACCTCTCCACATTTACAAAGCCAGCAGCCGATCGATGCTAAGGACTGACCACTGCACACCAAGATCTGGACTATTCGATAGCCTTTCTCTGCCTGACTCCCACTTACTTTATAGACAAGAATTGCATAGACTTTCTAAGCCAAAATCATTCTCCTGCTGCCTGGAGAAGTAATGAGCTGGCATTTCTCCATCACCCCGAAGTTAGTTTCCAGAAGGAAAGTGGGGCCTGGAAGAGAAATCTGGTTGCTCAGACACTGAGTGTTCTTTGAAAGGTCTTGAGCTTTCCCCAAAGCAGATGTAACTAGAGCCAAATGTTAGCCTTCATTCCTTCAGGGGTCAGACAGGAATTACTTCGAATCCCCTGTTCTTATAAAACAGTGAATAATCAAAAAGGTAAAGAGTAGTTTATAGAAAATAAATACAAACTTGGGACACTAAAATTTTGTCATCTGGGAGCCCCAACCGCAAAGCCACCCCTGCCCACTCCTTTATAGAGAAGACTTTTCAAAACACCAGCACACTGAGCAGATAAGACAATACTGAGAAGCCATCTGTTTCTCCCTGAAGTCGAAGAGGCAGCAGCTGCAATCCTTTATCCATTGCCCGGGCTTTCACCGAGCTTTAGGATTCATAAAGGAACAGCGGGGATCTGAAAAAGATCCGACATGTTAACTCTGATTCCAGGGGCTCCTACAGTAACAAGGTACCCCAGGATGGACTGTGTGGAGAAACAGATTGACCAGGAGAGGCTGACAGGCCAAGATCCCGAAGGCCAGAGGAACCACAGCTTGGCAGGCCAGGCTCCGCCAGACCACAGAGAAGGCCAGTGCCGTCCCGGCCGAGTGTGGTGTGGTTGTTGGGGAGAAGCCCCTCCCTCCGCAGGGCCCGGGCTCAATTTCATTACAGGGAACTCTCATTTCTGCTCACTACAGATAACCCGAGTTTCTGCATCACCCTGGGGTTTGTGCCCAGCTGGATGCATCTTAAGAAACTTAGGTTTTAACTTGAATGGATCTGTTTATAAAAAGGAGCACTCGTGATGCCAAGTCCCACGAACATCAAGCTGCACGGCGAGGGCTCCATCCCAAGGTGGCAGGTTGGGTGCCAGCAGCAGGCCACTCAGCCCCCTTAGGGGGCACCCTCGTGACTCTCTACCATGAGGTAAAAGCCAGTACTTCCCTCAGTAAGGGGCATGGCACCTTCTGAGGACGACACTCCAGGAATAACATCCTACAGGAAATACCAAGCATGCATATGACACGCGAGCCACCAAGCTGCTCATCAGAAGGCAAGCCCAGCATGTCGCTGGCAGTCCCCAAGCACAGGTCCCACCCCCACAGAGCCAGCCTGTGTGGCATGTTGCTCCCTTGAGGAGGGAGAAGAAAACTGCTTAGCCCTGGGCTTCCCTTCACTCAGTGGGGCCCAGCGGAGAAAGCGCTGTCTCCTTGGCTAGTGTAGATGTGGCACAGACTGACAATTCCGCACGAAAACTGTGGTCAGTATGAATTCATTTCAGTGTACGAATGTTGCCAACGAGATGCACAAATGCCTTGGGCTAACACTTAAAACACAGGTGAGATAGTTATGAATTCACTCAAGTAATACCTCCTGACATTAATTTCACTACACGTGATGAATTTGGTATTAAAACAAGACAGACACACATGAAATGGCCACAACACACATTTGGTTTCTGAATCCCTGTTTGGGGCCGAACTGACCCTGGCTGTACAGACAGCCTCTGGCATGGGCTGCATCTGAGGCGGGAGGCACAGAGGTCCTTGGGCGGGGGACACAGCCACGGCTGGGCCCCACGGGCCCAGGGACGGAGGGGAAGAGGGACAGACAGCTGGCTCTCTGGCAGGAGGGGCAGGGGCTGGCAGTCCCCAAAGTCCCCTCCTTCCAGCACATGGGTCTAGAAATGCCGCCTCAGCCCGGGCACAGAGCCCAGCCGGAAGGCCCGGCTCCTTTTCTAACAATCACACGCGTCCCAGTGGGAAGGGGAGGCGCTTGAACCCCACACCACGTGTTTACTCCAAAGCCCCGTGGAAGATTTCCGTTTGGCATCTGTGTAGCAGCATCGTGGGTTAACCAGAGCGAGACGGGGAGGTGGGCGACACGCTCTGCAAGCTGGGGCGCTGGAGCCGGCGGAGATGCCAGGAGCGCTGGGGTGAAGTCACCTTGCCTCTTGCCAATGATAAACCACGGGGTTAAAATTCATTAACATTCATTTTGGTGATAAAAATTCCTTAGAGTGGGAGCAAAAATCACATTCCAAGCAAATGTTAAACCTTTCTGAGGGAAAGGGACACAGTTAAACATTAACTTAAAACAACACTGAGCTTGGAGAGGCGACTGCAGGTCCCATGCGGGCTCCACCCCGCGGTGCCACGCACTTGGCGGGTCCGCATTAACTCGGTTTTCTTCATTCTCCCTTCAAGTTCGACAGCAACACCCGCTGAGGCACAGAGGCAGGGTGCCCCTCCCCGGGGAGGCCAAGGAAGGCGACTGGAGGGACAAGTCCATCCTATTAGGTCTCATCATGGGGTCATAGCAGAGTTCAGGCAGGACGACTTAGAACTCTGCAAAAGACACTTTTTAAAAAACATGATTTCGTGAAAAAAATAAATCCCAACAATTTCCAACTTCTTGCAAATCAAGGAAGGAGGAGGGTGAATAATAATAAAAGGTACAGCTGAAAAAAATAAACATGATTCTATTTGGGCGGAAGTTCATCTCCAAAATCTCGAAAGCCACACCCTAGCTGTCAACGTCCCAGCTCTAGTCTCCATTCCTGCCCTCACTCTGCTGCTTCCAGGAAGGGGACAAAGTCTTTGGTCTCAGGATGTTGCGGGATGCAGCATGGCACACAAGCTCACACTAATGGGATTCATGGTCAGACGGAGGCTGGGCAGAGCGGCCTGGCCCGGGGCCACGGGAACAGGAGGGCTGAGGGCGGTGGGGGGCCGTGCCCTAGATGGCGCCTTCGTTGTGCAGGCTGTGATTGGCCTTGTTGTGTGTCACACAGTTCTGTTCATTGAGCAGGTTGGCCGTCTCGTCTGGCAACCCGTCGTGCAGCTCCGTAAGAGTCAATTCAATTTTAGTGTTTTCACTGTCTGAAGACTGAGGAGTTTTGTCCATCCGGGATGCCATCAAGGCATTTTGGTATTGCTGTCTCGAGATCTGGGGCCAGAAGATGGTACAGAAAACAAACCAAGACAAAGCTTATTTTTAGGTTCTCTTGTCTGAATATTGTATGACATGTTAAGTTCCCCAAAAGGACCCTAGTAGTTTCTCTAAGAGAAAGTCATCCTTGCGTATAAATTGATCCACTTTCTAAAGTTCAAGTTGACTCTGGTGAATAAGTCAGTTTTTACTGACATAAGCCATTTCCAAATTTTGTCTCAAAATTTCAGAGACTAGAAAATAGAGATGGGCTTTCTCAGCTAAAGCTGGCTCTGTCTCCAAAAGACATCTTTATTTCAGACTAAGAACAGCACCCTGTCTCCAGCACAGAAGTGGAGGGTTCTTCCCGCCCCATCCTGGCCAGCCTTCTGAGTCTCTGACCTCAGCCCTTTCGGGCCCAACCAGAGTCACTAGAGTCTTGAGTGCATGAATATTTGTTGAAAAAAGTTTATTCTTTTTTTTTTCCTGCTCTCCAGCTCTACCTTCCCCGAAAAAACCAGATCTGATTTGGCAACTCATTTGATAGAGCCAAAGAGATAAATGTTTTTTCTAAGCTGCCTTTTCCTTGGGCACAGTAGCTGTAGGAAGGGCACCCACAAAATGACAAAAGGGAGCTCAGGAGAGGGGCTGGGGAGTTGACCTCACACTGCCAGGTCTGGCCAAGCAGCTCACTGCTCTTACCTTGACAAACTGGAGATCAGAGAGGGCGCGCACCGAGTAGTCTGGGATGTAGACTTGGAGGAATGAAGAATTGAGCTGATTATTGCTGCTCCCCAACGTCGGTGTGATTGCGTCAATCCGGTCACTTCGACTGAGAGAGTCCGAGTGATTCAAGCCACATGGGCGAGGAGGTGACTTGTTTTCACCTGGCAAAGGATTAAAAAAAAAAAAAAACCCAACCACCTTTCAAGTGAGGTAGATATAACCAATAAAGGCAGCTTTCTATTTTCCAAAGAATAAAAAAGTATCAGCTGCTCAGCCCCGTTCATGGGAACAAACACAGTCCTCCCCAAGTCTCCGACCGCACAGATGCTGTGGCTGCACGCCCACGCCAGGGGCATCGCAGGTGCTGTGAAACGCACACGCCACGGGCAGCGAGGCCCAAGCACAGAAACTACTTGATATAAAACATGGGCTATGAAAAGGCGGCACTTCATTATTTTGTCAGAAGCAAAAGCAAAGGACTCTTGAGAATATTCATAAATCGGTATGTGTTTTAAAGGGATCCAAATAGCTCTGTTTGCTCAGACCTCACCTCCCAGCCAAACCTATTATCTCCATCTCTGACTCCAATAAAAGCCCCACTAGGCAACGCAAGGTTGTCTCGGGATTTCAAGAACACTAGGAGAAACCAAACCCTTAAAAGGTGAAAGTGAAAAGAAGTCCAGGTGAGTCTAAGAGATGCTGCTTTTAAGGGCAAGTTCACTATAGCTTCTAATATACATTTTCTTTAAAATATTAACTGGGTGACCACACTGGACAGGTCCTGAATTGCATCATGCCACAGGATTAGAGGGGACCAATTCTCCATCTGATGGCTGACTCCTCTTTGCAATATGTCCCTGACAGATGCTCCCACAGAGGAGCTGGCATGCAGCTGGTCCCACCCTGCAACTGTTGGAAAGTCTATCATCATTCCCATCAAAAGCTGCCTCCCCAACTTCAAATGACAGTTTCCCTCCACTGTATGAAGCTC